GCAACGACGACAACTCAGAGCATGGTGGCAATCGGCCTCCAATCAAGTTGCTTGTTAGTAATGAATGTTTCTAATTAATTAATTAATTGATATAGATATACATTTACATGTTTTCGTCAAGTATGAAGCGTAATTAAAATTTTCTTTTGAAAAATGCAACCTTTCCATCAGTATTTTCTTATGATGTTGTCACGTTCAACTATCGTCAGTAAATCGACTTTACAGACAACCGATTTTTTTTTTTTTTTTAAATCGTGTTCTCTACCAGACCGAAACATTTAATGAAGGTTTTTCAAAGTACGAACATACGAGTAGATATGCAACAAAAAATGTTTCAAGTTCATATTAAACCATTCATAAGTTTTATACAATAACAGGATTGAACTTGACAGTTGATTCTGATTTGGTTTCTTTTTAAAGTAGCAAAGAACTTGTGAAGAGATTACGCGAGCAAACTGCAGCGTCCACTATACAGCATACATACATATTATATTATAATTTATGTAGCCTTAAATACTTGAAAACACGTTTGAAATGCTAATGTACTTTTTAAACTAAATTTACAAGTGTTATTATTATATTAAAGTACTCGTACATTTATTAAGTTCCACTAACTTTATGTTTCCGTTGTAATGTTACGCAACGTAAAAATGTTATCACTTTTATTTAATGACTTTTGCAATTAGCCCTCTAATAGTATACTGTTAACTCTTATAGTAAAATACCATATAGCACTTACACCATACAATCACTGGTGGTATGATGTAGTAATTAGTGATCCTGACTGACAGCCAGCGGTCATGGGTTTGGTTCTCATCTAGGACAAAGAAATGTGTGATGAGCACGATCATTTGTTCTGTGTCTGTAATTTATCTACAATATATGTCTGTAGTTAGAAATATATAAGTGTGTTTCTCAGCAGTATAGTGACCATAGCGCAAGCTCTGCCTAATATGAGATCAGACAGCCGTGTGTGAGATCTGTCGAGTTAATATTATTATTACTAGTAGACTGCCATAGTGATAAGTATACAAAGATTACTGTTGTCCTGGGTGCAATTTTCGAATCGAAGAAGTGTGGGGTTTTCGAGCAAGCAATAGGGATGTTCACAAACGGAACTGCTTTTATTTTTCAATTTGACTGGTATTTAATGCAAGAAGTAAAAGAGACAAAATAAAAAAGGGTGTTTTCAAATTCCCGCTAAAACGGTAGTACCGCATTTGATTACTGAACTAAACGGTTAGCTGACATTTTTCAATAGAATAGTAAACGTAAAAATGCAAGTAAAATTAAGTATACAAATGTAAGTAATAATAAGATACCAACTGACAGCTGCTGTCACCTTGTTCTTCGATTAATGACGTATCGTATTTTTTTGTTGACATTCACAGTCACGTGATTATAGTTAGTATGTTACATGTTTTTATTTAACTTGCAATGTTTTTATGTGTGTTTGTTCGGGACAGATCTTGCAACTGAATTTAAAAGCAGTAATCCTGAAACGACTTTGCTGACTTTTTTTTTTTTGATTCACTACAATAAATAAATAAGTTAATAGTACATTCGAATTCTAATTTAAAATAAAATATAAAAATAATAGTGATAGTCGTTACTATAGAATATAAATTTCTGATTTGTGTCAAAATTTCTAATCTTGTTGCAGTTTCAGTTTTGAATCTGCCTTCGTCACTGCCTTTTTGAATGGTAAAAATCTAAATCTGGTCAAAAACACATGAATTATACAATGGTATTAGTGTATTGCTCAACATGACCGAAGCATTTTTCTTTTTTGTAAACGCATATATGTCAAAACACGAAGTTAACATGTTCGCACGTGCGTTTTGTAATCATTGTCACAATGTTGCGTGATCGCAAAGCGTTTGGAATCGTAACCGTTGTAATTTACCAGTAATCTGTCTAAACACTTGTTTTTATTAACATTTCAATTGAGACTGTTCTATTGTTTCTAGATTCTACGGTGATATTTTGTTTGTATGTTTAATTGACGACCGGATGGCATAGTGGTTTGTGTAATGGACTGCTATTATAAAGGTCGCGGGTTCGATTCCCGCTCAAGTCAAACATTTTTGTGCATGAACATTTAATTTTTGATTTGGTCTGGGCGTTTCTATGTATAATAATAGGTGTTTACCTATGAAATTGCCGTTTTGTATGCAATAAATTTTAAAAGTAATAGTCGGTAGGTGCAAGGTGCAAGCCAACCTTGCACCTACCGACTATTACTTTTTCCAAAATTTAGACAACTTTTTAGTGGGTAAAAAATTCAATTCCCGAGAGGCTGTACAAAATGCCTTTGAAGAGTTTGTTGCCTCCCGTCCAGCTGATTTTTACAAGAAGGGCATCAATAAACTGCCAATGCGTTGGCAAAGATGCGTCGATTGCATGAGTGATTACTTCGAATAACAGAAATAAAAAAGTTTAAAAAAATAAGTACTTTCCCTTATTGCATACAAAACGGCAATTTCATAGGTAAAGACTTATTATGTATTTATTTACAGAGAAAAAAGTATAAATGTATTTATATCAGTTGTCTAGTAGCCATAGTACAAGCCCTGCTTAGTTTGGGACTAGATGGCGTTGTGTGAATGTTGTAAAATATCTTATATTATTATTATTATATTAATTATTATTTCTGGCTTTTACAATAATGACGTGACTAATGCTTCATCAAACCAAATTAACAGTCGTTACGTCATCCTCATAATTTACCAGCGCTGTTCCCAATTCTATATTGAGGTCGGTGCAATGTTTCGGTTTTGGTTATTTTGGGTATTTTAGAGCACGCTCCTGCTGAACTGCAACCTTCCTTTAACAAAAGAAAAAGAAACATTTGAAGGAAAATATTGAGGGAGCTAGAATAAGAGATAATGCAAGTCTCCAATAAGAAACAGGACGGAAGCTCAGTAGATCTGTACCCGTATGTCTAGTTTTCACTCGTTTCGTAGAAAGATTTAACCTATATAATTAAGGATGATAAATAAATTAAAATTTAATCAGGCAGGCCACCAGCCATAATCAATTCTTGCAAATAAAATAAAAACCACCTGGTTTTACGTGCACTGGGCTAACTTGATGTTGGCAAAATGTGGATATTCGGGGATCTGTAAAGCGTATAATTTTAATGCAGGTGCATTTAATTTCAATAAACAAACATGTAGGTCAACATCGTGCCGGTTTCGTGAGCAGTTTCAACTACATTTTCATAAATCAAAGCATTTAGGTACTAGTTGACACTTGAAATGAGTGAGACCAAAGACGACGCATTAATTACTCTTGTTTATAATTCAGATAAGAAATAACTTGGTGCTTTGTGGTCTTTATACCTAAAAAGACACTATTTATTTATCACATATAGAATAATTACATTAGATAAATGAATTTATACAAAATAATTTATAGAAAGTCATGATTTACCTGTAAGTGCGTGCTTTTATTGTTTTTCGCTTAAACCTGACAGGATATCGTTCATTCTTTATAATTGTTATTTTCCTTAACAAATAAATATATGTACATAAAATTATTCATAACTTTAAATTTTAGTGTAACATGTTAATTGCGAGAAGCCCAAAATCGATCTAAGTGGCGTGCAATGGGAGAGGCCTATGTCCAGCAGTGGACTGCGATAGGCTGATGATGATGTTAATTTTCCCATTTTATGTTTATTTCAATGTACGTTTTATAATTCGTACATTAGCGCCAGAATAATAATAATATATCGGACACCTAACACCAACGCCATCTAGTTTCAAACTAAGCAGACCTTGTACTATGAAAGCTAGATTGACTGATAAAATACTTATAAACTTTTGTTTTGTAAATACATACATATTATACACAGAAAACACCCAAACTCCGAAACAAATGTTTGCAGATCATACTGCCGCATAGAATGATACCACTACACCACCGAGACAATTGAGGCCCAGGTGAATCGTCTACTCGTGTGCCCCCTATATCATAAAACAAAGAATTAATTTGAACACAAACAAATTAATAAAGTAGTGTCTGTTAATGTAGGTCATGAATTAAAGAAACATCATCATTACACAACACGTAGAGCCATAAAAAAAAACCGGTCAATATTATTTTTTGTGCAAATCATCGATTATACTAATTGTTTTTATGAGATGTTTATGTAACAATCCTAAACGAGTCTTGTGTAGACAACATATAAATATATACAATTTCCTGTATGTCAGAAATGGCTCTTAAGATTTGGATCAATTGTCGGTCGCTCGGTCGCCCAAGTTACCATTAACGGCCGTTTTCAATAACCTATCTCCAGTTAAGGATAGATCGCTATCTTCGATTTGCAGCCTGATCTTATCTATCCCTGACTTGCGTTTCACAATCGAGGATAAGTGCTATCTATCTGTCACAAACGAAGGATAGCTTTTTCCCTCTTGAAACGTTTAGTGCTTTGCTAATCAAATGTTTAATGTTAAAAACAAATATTAACTATTTATTTATGTTTATTAAAAGTTCTTATTGTGTATATTATTTTATACATTTTATGGTAAATCAACATTAACTTGATTTTTTTTATTTGTTTACTAAATTGTATCATGAAATAAAACGTTTTGACATATCGCATTGTATTGAAGACATTGGAATTTGTTTGTGCGCGTATCTTGTGTTAAATATCATAAAATTAATTAAAAATGAATCCTGTAAGTATTTACATTGATGATAATTTTTACATTCCATCCGTTCAATCTTCTAAAGATTATTTTTTTCAGTCAAGCAAAGCGGCGCCAATGACAAAAGATGAGACGATGCTCCTCGTGCAGCTTGTGGCGGCAAGTGCATTTATAAATAACAAAGCAACAAATGCCACTAATAACAAACTCAAGGACCAGGCTTGGCAAACATTAGCTGTTGAATTTAATTCGTCAGTTTCAAGTTACCAAAGAACTCCAGCGCAGCTACGTTTAAAATGGGATAACTTGAAGAAGGCCGCTCGTAAACGCTGCGCAAACATGAGAATCAGCCGTAATAAGGTCAGTTAGGGATTATGATTAATGATTCACAACAGTAAGTAGTAAGTTAAAATAATATTTTTCAGTACTCCTTTTTTTTACAGACTGGAGGAGGGAATTGCTACTTTCCACCTGACGAAGTCCTGGACAAAGTGGCATCTTTATTAGGCAACACATGCACAGGTTTTTCTGTGGAGTTTGGTGGGGATGCCACCATTCCAAACGTTTCTTTGGTGATGGCTGAAATAGAGAATGATGTAGAGGTGATATGTAATGAAACGCTAGATGATGCTGATGGTACTTATGGTGGAGGTGGTGATAAGAGGGAGGTGTTGAAAGAAACACAATTACTTGAGACACCTCCCCCCCCTAAACATAAAATTTTTTACATAAGTAAAGCTAGTGGCAGTGGTGCATTGGGTGGGTGGCTGAAATTTTTGTTTTAATGCTATTTTCCATTACATACTTATTCTCTGAAACATGCTAACTGTGGACTATGACACACATTGAAACCATATAATAACTACTATATCTTACTTTACTTTATTTTTATAGCCAAGCGGAAACAAAGGATGGAAGAGGAAAAGTGTAAGGCCCGCATTATGAGGGAAAATGCTCTTACCGAATATTTAGTTGTTAAGAAAAGAAAAATCGAATTAGAAAATGAGGAAAAGGAGTTACATATAGCTAAACTTAAGTTAGAATTAGATAAGGCTAGATTAGAAATGTTTTAAATTTTTTGATTGTAATTTTTAATCTTCATATATATCTATTAAAAAACATTGGGTAAAGGAACTTATAAGTATAATATGAAATTAAATATATGTAATGATACTAATAATACTAACTTAATTATAAGCAAATTGTTACTAATACACTAACACTATGGACTGCATCACTACGGTCTGAAATAAATGATTATTATAGGCATGTGATTTGTTTACCTCAATAATCCACCGGTACATTGTATTCTGATGTCAAATTTGTAAAAGAAAATAAAAATGTACATAAAACATGAATTAATATTATTTATTTTACACATTAAAATAATTATTTATTAGTAATTGCCGTTCTGACATGTTTAAAATTGGAGAATTATCATTGACAATTATATTTTCCTCCTGTGTTGTTTCTGGAATCAATATTTCTGGCTCAATTTCATCCAAATTCATAGTTCTGGCAATATTGTGTAACACAGCAGTGGCTATAATAACGGATTGCATATTTTCTAATTTTAGCCTCATTTTCAAGGATAATATGGGGAATCTTCTTTTCCAAACTCCAATGCATCTGCAATTACAGTAGTTATTAATAAATTGTGTATTTAAACCATGTACACTGAATCTAGTATTTACTAAACAAAATAAACCTCTCTATAGTATTTCTTGTTTTAATGTGTGCTTCATTATAAGATTGCTCTGATGGAGTATTTGGGTTGAGTAGAGGTGTCAATAGATAGGGTGTGCATGGATAGCCACTATCACCAAGCAGCCAGCGATTTCCAAGTCTACCTTGTTCACAATAATCTGCAAGTTTATATTATATATTAGACTTTTAAGCAATAGGAACAGTGTACTTAACATTCATAGAATAAGCAACTAACTAAATCAGTAACCTTTTAAATCAGAATGGTTAAATATAGTTGCATCATGAGTGGATCCTGGCCATCGGGCAACAACATTTAGGAACACTAATTTACAATTACACACAACTTGTACATTAATAGAGAATGTTCCTTTCCTGTTTCTGAATTCTTCTCCCACATTTGAGTCTGTAAACAAAAGAATTATGGTATGAAAACATCATAAAAAGTGAAGTTAGACCGGGACCTAAATAGAAGTATCAAATAGTTCAATATGAGGTGAGATGAGGTACTTACTTGGTGATTGTATTAATATATGGGTGCCATCTATGACACCATGTACTCTGGGAAATCTAGCAATATTATAAAACTCTTGTTGAGTGTGATTTTGTAACACAACAAAGTTTGAGTATAATCTTGCTATGGCTTTGGATACATCAGAGACAATACGACTAGCAGATGCTATAGATACTCCGATAAAATCTGGAACAGACACTAGCATAGTACCCAATGCATAGAATCGTAGAGCCAAAAGTATCTGATGGAGGGTGGATATGCCGTGATTTCTGGAAAAAAATAAGAACTGTTATAACCTGATGACAAGCCCCAGTAAGAGCCTACACTTGAGCCAAACCCAATAAATAAAATATAATACACTTGCTTGTAATTGTCAAATTAAAGAATGGTTTAATCTTTGTTGTTTATGATTATAATATATTTTTTATCAAATTTGGTTAAAGGATGGAGATAGGACTAAAAATGATAACGTTAAACCTTACCTTTTAGATGTTACACTTAAATATGGTTGTATCCAATTTATTAATTGATTCACAGCACTCTTATTTAATCTAAATCTATATGCAAATTCGTAGTCATTTAATTTAGTCATATAATTCACACGTGGTTTATATTCCTTCTGTACAGGTATGTTATCATCAGTATCACTGTCACTGCTTTCATCATAATCCATTATAATTCCAAATAATTCCATGTCGCTATCATCACTGCTAAAACCTTCCATTATTTTATATTTAATATGAAGTTATTTATTATCGAAATTCTATCTGCCCGCGTAACTGGCCGATGTTAACAGATAAACAAAAACGTTACTAATAGTTAGCTGCCCCTACCGGTACCAATGAGACATACTTTCAATATTTTCACAAACCTTGATCTTACCGAAGCATGTATATGTCAGTGACATTAGTTATTACGCGTCTTTCAATTTATAAACTAATAATAAGAACCTCACACGCGTCACACAGTAATTTGTCCTTGGTGGGAATGGAACCCACGACCTCTGGCGTAGCAGTCAGGATCACTAGACCAATAGGCCAATAAAAAGACTAGATGATAGTTCGACGGATAAGCGCATTCCAGACTCGCTACAAACTTCAGATTACTAACTCATCAACAGCCATTACTAGTCCATTGCTGGACATAGGCCTCTCCTTAGAAAGGAGGGTTTGGCCTACTATACCACGCTGGCCAGACGGGTTGGTATAGGCTTTGTTTTAAGTTTGCATTCTTTTTGCAGTGCTGTTGTCCTGCGTAGTTTGTTCCCTTAGTCGCCTCTTACGATACCCACGGGATGAATAGGGATGATGACATTCCGTATTCTTAATCCGTCACCACACGGACTAACTTTTTTTTACTAACTTACTACTACTATTACTATATTACTAACTATTGCCACCAAAACGTACATTAGGAAATACCGCTCAATAACTTTATAGTCATAAAGGTTTTGATACCATTTCGAAATTACCATGGAAAGTGATACATACGCCAGTACCGTTACCCCCCTTTTCACTAGTAGTGGGGTAGTCAAAGTGCGGAGTCGCGTGCTTTATCGCGGTCTCCGCATATGATTGTTATATCGCGTGCGCTTGCACCGAAAATAATGAAAGAATGGTCAATGGATCGCTTGTGCGTATTGAGTTCGTGACTCTTACAATGGAAAGCGCATCTATTAATCGAAATATGAGTACTTTCATCAACAGTCTTTTTATAGTCCAATGCTGGACATAGGCCTCTCCTTAGAAAGGAGGTTTTGGCCTACTATACCACGCTGGCCAGACGGGTTGGTATGGGGTTTGTAGTTTTCCTTCTCTTTGCAGTGCTGTTGTTCTGCTTAGTTTGCTCCCTTAGTCCGCTCTTACGGCACCCACGGGATGAAGAGGGGTAGTGGCACTCTGTCAGCACACGGAACGTACTTTATCGTACTGTACTCTTAGATTTTCTTGCATGAATCAGCACAAAACATACACAAAACTACTACTTAATATTTATTTTTCATACACGAAACTACATTCAAGATATACATATAAACAATTAAGCTTTGTCCCCGAAATTCAGGTCTCTAACAAAATGCACATACTCATATTAGAAAGTATCACAGTTTTTAAACGCCTTTTTTTTTAAAAGCGAATTCGCTGGCAATAATGATAATGCCTGAAAATTGTACAACTTTTACATTTTGTATACCTACCTATAAACACAATATACTTAAACTATCAAGTGTTATTACAGGAAACTAATTTCTAAACATGAACCGTATATTTGCCATGTGAGTTTATGACTATCGATTAAATTAATAATAATAATAATAAATTTTATTGTAACAAATGATACATACAATTCAAGTGCAAGCCCTGATTCCCAAACGAGCGTGAGCTGTATATCGGGGATCAGTTCCTTCCCAAAGACATGATACAATAATCACGTGGAACATACAAAGAAACATGGAAGAATACTTAGAAAAGATCTTTTGTAAGTATTCTTATATCTTTTGTAAATTGTTGGCAAACTTCGACTCGATAGTCATAAACAAAAGCATATCATTCGTTTTACCGCAGCAATTCCATTTGCACATTAGTGTCATGCTGTGTGTTCAGGCTATTAATTTTTTAAACACGTATTGTTAAAAACCATTTGAAATTTATGGTAAAGACAAAATTACCGGAGACACTTAAACTACATGAACCTGTACCAACCGGGCGTTGCCTAATTGCTTCTAATTTCAAATATGTCTAATATAGTATAATAGTATACTATCAACCATAGACAGGTATTAAATAGCTATAACCACAGAAATAGAATCATTCATTTCAAATAAGGAATACTGACGAGGCGAAGGCAGTAATGAAATAATGCGTCATCTGCTCTGTGTGTCATTGGCCGTGCCCAGTACGCGGGTATTTGTTTACTTTCCATGATTTGCAGCTAATTTTAAACAAACTAACTTTATAGAGATGCTAAAACGATGTACAATCATAAATAACGTTGCACCCGCTTACAAGGTCACTTACTTCGTATAGTGAATTTATACGAGTATATACACTGGATTGATGTTTGCTACAAACTTCTGTTGTTTCTTTCTGCTACAATTATGGTTATCCAAACAAATATTTCACGTTTTGTAAAGCGTGTGTATTAGAATTCTGGTCCCTTGACGGTCGTCGGTCAGGGTCGATTTACATCAATGTCTACTGTGTCCAGATTAGACCGGGGTTACGTCACTACTGGTGCGGTTTTGGTTTTTATTGTGATAGGATTCGTAACACCTAACTACATAATTAGAGTAAATAAATAAGTTATCAATTTCAGGATTATTGTTTAAACTGAGTGTTGCACAGTTATAATGTATCATAGACCACATACATAGTTTCTCATCGGGGTTAGTAGGTCTAAGAACGAAAAATGAATTCGTTATACGTAAGAAATGGCGGTTTATAATTAAATGTAGGTCTTGATATTGTGGAGAAAGTATTCGGATGTATAGCCATTTTCTTTATGCACATTGTTAGTAACAAAGCTGGTTCGTAACTGATGCGGGCTATTTGAGAAATTCATCAGGTTGCGCGAATTTATTTCTTTCGTATTTCAATTATTGAATTATTGATGTTCTGGGAGACATATACACAACGCTTTCCATGTCGAAACTTTTATTATGAGTTTTAGAATAACCTTATCAGCTACATGTATTAGACTTCACACATACAAAAATTTGTTCCGTGTGCGAATGAAGCCCTGACACTTTGACTGTATTTTATTTAGGTCTTGTTAGAAGATATATGCTTTTATAGATATATAAGTTTTTATTAACTTATACTACTATAAAAATAACAATACTTTAGAGTTAGTAGCAGT